TTTCCCAAAATATCGATTACTAGATGCAATAGTCAATGTGAAAGGCAGTAAAGCCCGCGGTAATTGCTGTTAGCTTACCGCCAACGACTGTAGCGACAGAACTGAATTAATTCCATTATAAAAAGTTCTGATAACTTAGCAGTCTTTTGACTTAACAAACCATCAAGGAAACTCAAAAGAAGTTTGGTACCCTGGCCGATTTAAATGTCATACAAATGAAATCTATTTTATTCAGGCACTTGCTATTGTCTTGTGGAGATCATCTCGAGTGGTGCGCTTTCGCGGTGAAAATATGAAGGCATACATAAACTGAAGAGATAACGGTGAATACATTCTATCAAAATTGCTATATTTGTGGTTTTCAGCTAACGCCACGGAGGTCATGCTGGTGGACAAGAACAAAAGCGTTTCCCTCCTCTAGAAAAAAACTCTTTTCTCATGCAAATTTTGCTAAAATTTTTTTATTTTTTTGTCCACCAGCATGGCCGCCTTATCAGGCTATTGAAAACCAGCAATCAAATGTAGCTTCAAGAATGTAATCGATAAGCGGTCATAAACCTTTAATACCAATTCTTTTTTTAAAAAAAACTTGTTTAACAAACCGAGTAATACACTACTGTGAACAATCCAAAATTTCTCTCTAGCAGTTGTTTTGACACGGAGTCAATTTAATTAACACTTTTAGCAGATAAGTATCTCTGTTAATTCCATTATCATTATGTCTAATCGTTTGTTTGGTTTTGTTTTTACAGTCAAACCAGGCCAAGCGTTCCCGTCGCTAGCAAACTAATGAATCCATTAATGGAAAAATGATTTCGTTTGTTGATTCAATAATCCATTCATAAAATGAATAATCCAACTGTAAAATTGGACCTAGATTCAATAATTAAATGTTGATTTGGTTGATGAACAAAATCTACCTGTTCTTTATTCTAGCTTGTCTGTTGAGTTCAATCGTATTTGCCTCCCTTTTCCTGCCGTTTACGATTGCGTTTTTAATTGCCTTTAATCAAAATAACAGCTAGAAGAGACAGGCTGCAAACGCAAAGAAACTGACAAAGGCCGGGGATCGAAATCCACCAATCATCACACATACATTGACCTCAGTTTGACTATTGTGTTTTCTAAGAGGTCAGGTCCGTTGCATTGATTACTGGAAGCAAAGTGGCATACATGTAACGGTTTGTTTGGGTTGAACTTCAGAACTCGCCCGCACTCGACTCTTGGACACAAAGAAGAAAAAAGTGTAGTTTTTCAAAAAACAATAATCGAATCAACATTCGATTATCGAATCGAGGCTAAAAATGAATATTGGATTGTTCATTTTATGAATGGATTATTGACTCAACAAGCGAAATCATTTTTCCGTTAATGAATTTACTAGTTCGTTAGCGACGGGAACGTTACTATGGCGTTCCATTTCCGCCAAAATTCAATGTTTCATTTTACATTCTACTTTGCACAATCTATCCTACACTTTGTGTTTGTCATTTGAGTTTGCACTCGCGATTCAACTTTTTTGCATTCAACATTCAACTTTGATTTATGCAACATTCAAGTTTTCGCTTTCGACATTCAACTTTTCATAAGCAACAGTCAGGTTTTGGAATTCTACCTTCAAGTTCAGTGGAATGTACATTCATTTTTTCTCATCCAACATTTAGCATTTGTCCTTTAAGTTTTCGCTTCCGACATCCGACTTTGAGCATTGTACTTGCAAGTTTCCGCATTCGACATTCAACTTTTCGACTTTGACTTTTACCCGCTGGTCAGCGACCGATTAAGATCGTGGGCTCAATTGACCTGACCTTCCCCCGCTCAAATGGTGGTCGAGAGACTTCCCAGTCGAGTGGACTCGGGAGACCTTCTCCACTCCCGACAAACCAGACGTCGACAACAACATGGCCGATCGCCGGCATGCGGAACCGTCAGCTACTAGCTTAAGTGAAGTGAGAGCCACCCTGTTGAGGGTGGCTGACCGTCTGTCCTCGTTGGAAGAGACACCATCTCCAAGTAAGTATCGGGCAATCTTTGTCAAGTATGAAGAAGTTATGTGTTCAATAAAGTTCGCGCGTAAGCGCCGACACAAGCTTACATGTACGCATAAATAGCGGCAGCATCATTTTGATCACTTCACGCGCGCTGCGTAATGGACGGCATCGATCGTAGAATGAAATATTTCCGAAAGGTTTTGCTTGCAATACTCTTGTCTTTATGTTTTTACTCATTTCTTTATTGTGTGAGAATTAAGGAATGAATTTTGATTTGTTGCCCAGCAATCAAGAATCGGTCTGCATAAAACGCCACAGGCACCCCAATCTCTGGCCTCCCATGCAGACTACACAAGCTCTTTTGTCTGAGCAATTCAAGTAATGTAAGCAATGGGTAATACAGAAAAAGCTACAGTGCTCGCACACCGTACATGTATTTATTTAATAATTATGTCAGAGCTCTCTGTAGTTAAATTTGTTTGGATTGGCTGTTGAGAAGGTTCTGCTTGAATATATTTATTATTATAATTATTTTATTTTTAGACAGCACCAGAAAGGTACAACAGAATACAAATCCTTCTCCAGTTGCTTGTCTGTCTGCTTCTGTTGCTGCTGAACAGCGCAGGCTGTTTAGCCATGGAAACAATGCAAAACGAGCACGTTCTTCTGGCAGCTCTCTTCCAAAGTCCAAACGAAATGCTACATGTACTGTAAAGTTTGTGTGTCTAGCTGCCAAGGAAGAGGCAGACCGTCCACCAATGTCTGTGAAAGAAAGAACGGCACTGGCAAATGCTGGCTTGGGTGATGCTAGTATTACCTTTGGGTATAACAAGAGCTCTGTGTACAATGGAATCATCCAACGATTTCCTCAATTGAGTGAGGTTGGGGGTTTTGACCTGCTGTTGTTTCAGAGAGGTAATGGGGAGGGTGCAGGGTTCCACAGAATTCTTCCCCCACACACACCTCAAAGGCTGAAGGAGTTATGTGGCCAAGCAAAAATTTTCATACGACCTCTCCAAAAGGACATTGAACTTGATGACAAAGGTGGAGAAGATAAAGAAGATGTAAGTTGGATAGCAGAAATTAACAAGCTACAATAGTAGTTTCAGTGACTCTTTTCGCTTTTATTTCTTGTTCAATTGGTTTTGTATTGTAATTAGCTGTGTTTTGGATTAATTAGGAGGAGAGCATTGTTGGTAATATTTATAATAAAACAAATTATTTGTTGAATTTACTGATGAGAGTATGTGTACATGTATGCTTATTTAAGTTAAATTTATAACCTTGTTCTTTTAACCTGCCCATGGGTTTGTTATATATATGTACAGTATATTAAATTCAGTTTGGAATATACATTATATCAAGCTTCATTATTTTCTTACTGTGAAAGTAGTGGATTTTTTGTAATATCAAATGGAAATGATGTTAAAGTTTAAGATGTAGGCGCTATAAGTTAAAATGAAATTCAGGGGCACCCAACGACAATTTTCGGAAGAATATCTGTTCGGAAGGCGATTTGAGACCTAGAATTTTCGAGACATTTGTTGTAAAATTTCTTGCTTGCCTGCATCTCCTAGGATTTTCGAACATGTAAAAAATGGTATAATTGCCTATTTTTAACGGATTTTTGCCCTAAAAAGGTCACCTAGAATTTTCGGGAGCCTTTTTTCTGGCTGAAATTTTCGAAAAAGTAAGTTTTGATCCCTATTATTTTCGGATCACTAGACTTTCAGCTAGGAAATCCGAACAGATGAAAAATTTTTAGGGGATAAAAATATGCCTATATCTACCGTTTAAATACTAAAATACGTTTAACAATGCTATGTTTAAGTGGTTTTGAACTATATGCTCGTTGGGTGCCCCTGGAAATTCAGATTACAGTGGTTTCAGTCTTTGTATTTCTTTTCTTTTTTAATTTTATTTGTCTCATGTTCATAAACATTTTTCAGAACAAAGGAAATCCTAAAACAAACTGTAGCTGAAGAACATTTTGACATGATTTACATTGTTTATACGCTTCAATTATGTGTGTATTTTTAACTACTGCTTACATGTATGTTTGTTGATTTGCCTACCCTTCTAAATGATTATTTAGGTTGACAGTGATGTTCCTATGATTGACTGTTTTACCTGTGGTGCTGCTATTATCATGACAGATATGCAGGAGCACCAGGAGACTCACCAGCAAGGAGAGACCAAGCAGCCTGAAGATGACTTTGAATTCAGTGCTGGTCAGTACATTAAGCTTGCTGAGTATCATGATCCATACTCTTTGTATCTTATTTATGTCATAAATAATGTGCAAATGTAACTAGGGCTTGAAAGTACAATTCAGTGAATACTTGAACAGCTGAAGAACTTTCTTCTTTGTGATATGACGTTATGACACCTTTAAATTACAATCATGTTTAACTGAGGAGAAAGCCTCTTCAAATCTTACATCACAAAGTTCACCTCCTTCCTGGGGGGAGGGGAGGATACTTTAGGAATTTCTGGGTAGGGATGTGCTACTGGGACCCTGGGACCCTTAGCCTATACCAGAGCTAGTTCAGCTGAATTTTGCTACTCTATTCTAGACTACTATCCTATAGTAGTTTTGTAGGCTGAGTTTTGTAAAGTTAAACGTGCTGATTTGATTTTTTTATATATTTTTGAGTGTCAATTCCCAGTTTCTCTATTGTAGACTAAAACTTTCAACCAATTCCTGGAAAATAATACCCTATTCTAGACCCAAACTCTCTGATTGATATACCCTATCCCAGAGTAAACTGCTTAAAAACCATTACCCTTTACAGTGGCACATACTTATTTGTGGCAAACATACATGCCAGTACCACCCCAGGACCTCCTCCCTTAGTGGATGTATTTTCTGTTATCTTATATTTGAAGTAGAGTGCTGTAAATCAAAGGAACTCAAAACCCACTCAGTAACATTATGTTTTTTATAGACAATGACAGTAACTGGGAACCTCCCCCAATGCTCCAGCCTTCTCAGTCACAGAAGCAGCAGCAGGATGAAGGTGTGTATTGCAAGGGGACAAGATCCAGCAGAGTAGTATTCATCATAACTTCATAAGGCGTGTCATAATAAAAGCTTTCCCTGTATTGGAAGTAAATTACAAGGATCATATGGCATGCCATTGGTGCCAAAATTATGATGCAAATTTTTAATATAAAATTTGTTTTTTCACATTTTTTTCCTATTTTGGGGTACACATTGTCTTTTAGTTTGCACAGACTTCCTTTTTGGGTTGATTTTTCTTTATTAGACTTGACATTGGGTTGGTATAGTTTTCAGTTTTGGTCAGCTTTTTATAATGTGTAGACTTTTCATTCGGGTGAACTTTTCATTGTCATTGCATCAATTCAAGTCACGCAATACTGGTGACATCTCCTAAGGGATCATGGGAAATGCATTTCCTGTGCTGCCAGTCTGTTGTTTATGCACTGCCATAAAAAAATAGCAGGGCAGACTGTGCATACCTACCCTCCCAACCATGGGGTAAAACATTGACAGCCACCACATTTTTGGGGGGATCATTTAAATCAATCTAGAAATGGGGTGAAATTCAACTCCCTGCAGAAAAATGAAGAATGAACATCTTTCAGCTGGAACCAACAAGTAAAAACAGCCAAAGGTATATTAAATATACCTTTGGCTATTACTAACCTTGTCTGTTAGATGTTAAATTATGCAACACACAAATTTTCATTATGTAACATTACTTTACTTGTGACTGTCTCTGCATAGCTGTTCAGTCTTCAATAAAATTGCCTTTATTGAGTTATTTTTATTACTTTGTGAAAAGGCAAAGAAATAAGCATTACATGATATATTCAGTTTATTCAGCAGCAGCCTGACTTCAAGGTCGTGAATACTCTGAGCCACAAAAAGAGAGGGGGGGTTGTGCATTGGCTAATAGCAATTTACATGTATTATTGTGGTTGTGACATAACCTGCATTTGCACTGCTATTTAAAATAATGCTAGTACATATTAAGATTTCGTTTGTTATTGCAGGTGAAGTACCATTACACATAGATGACAATGGAGAAGAACCACAGCCTGGTCCATCTAGACAAACAACAGAGGAGGAAACCCTGCAACAACTAATGGAGATGTTTCCGGACAAAAGTCGAGATGACTTGGTGCGAGCCCTCAGTCTACACGGGACTGTTGGTGCTGTGGCTCTTTCTCTTTCCAGTAATTTACCTGAAGATGATTTTAGCAGTGATGATGACAGCCTGTTACAGCCTTCTTTTCCCCCTTCAAAAGAGAAAATAGATTCCTTGCAGTCATTGTTAAAGGAGCTTGGGAAGAATATGAGTGAAGAGAGAGTAAAAGTAAAAATTGAGGAGGAGGACATACTGAACGATGCATTGGCCCATGACAAAAGTCCTGAGTTTGATGTTAAGAAGAAGCTAAGAATCCAGTTTAAAGGCCAACCAGCAGTGGACACAGGTGGTGTTACAAGAGAATTTTACACAAAGTTGTTCCAAGTCATTTGCAAGATGTTCTTTCAAGGCTGCTAATACAAGAGTCCTGTGTACAGTGCAGATATTGTAGCCTCCGGACTAATGCGATACTTTGGCACCATGATTGTTCACAGTATTTTACAAGGTGGCCCAGGCTTCCCAGTGTTGAGTCCTTCAGTATACTGTTACATTGCTTCTGGTAATATTGATGCAGCAATGGCCAAGATGAATTATGGAGATTGTTCAGAGCCTGTTAAGCATTTCATTGACAAGGTACAAACTGGACATTTGAGTGCATTCTAAAATTACTGACTGAAAGGGAGCTTGTAATCAATTGAGTAGAATACAGTACTTTGATTGTGACTCGAACATCTTTCAATTCACCTATGAGTATACAATCACTACAATGTCAAGTAACATCATAATCATGACCATGGCATTACAGTTCTGTTTGTAAAAATTATCTCAAATTTGTGCCTACTTCTTACTATTGCTTCTAATAACATATGCAAATATGCATTACAGATGAAATATACATGTAATGATGATATTGCCAACAATCAGCACACAATAGCAATAAAATTACTATGTTTATTTACAGAACAAAGTTTACAGTCAACTTAATTGAAAACCACTCACATCAGATTTTATTTTTTTATCAATACTAGGTTGCACAAGCTGAAGATGTGTGTAGTCTTGACAAAGAAGAATGCTCAAGTATGTTGTCTGAGTGTGGCCTTGCTGTTGCATTAACAGTAAGTTTGAATTGACTAGCATTGTTGCTTACTGTGAGAACGACCATTTAACTAGAATACACTGAAGGTGTCATTCATCTGTTCAGTAGTTTGCTTGGTCAGTCAGTCAGTCAGTCACACTCCTACAGTCAGTCATTCACTCACTCATTTGCTGACTCACGTATTCATTCATTCTAGAACGACAGCAAGATGAGGGTTATTCAGGGGATCATTATACATGATGTAATTGGCCGCCCTAAGATTATTCTTGACCAGTTGGCGGAGGGTTTAAACACACTTGGATTTCGAGCTGCTATGAAAGAATACCCTGAGTTCCTTGAGGCTCTCTTTATCCCCAGCAAGGAAGAGTTGAATGCAGATTCTGTCATTGGCGTGCTTCAGTTCCCTAAAGATATGGATGACAATGAAAGTGTAGTAGCAGGTTACATTCACATGTTTATACAGAATGCAAAGGTTGACACACTGGAAAAATTTCTCTCTTTTGCCACGGGTTCAAAGGCTCTTCCCGATTTTGGCCTGGGAAAAAATTCAAGTAAAGTTTGATAGGGTACCGGCTATCTTTGCATCAACATGTTTGTTTCACATTACATTTCCAAATCAATTCGAAGACCAAGATAGCTTAAGTTTGTCACTAGAGGCAGTCATAAATACTACCACAGGACAGTCATTTAACTGTGTGTAACTACAAAGTTCAGAAGTTATTAGACTTCCTTGTTATCATGCATTTTCTCTATACTCTCAAATTGTATTTTGCTCTGACTACAAGTTGAGTTAATTTTTTTGGACATCAATTTACAACTCCCTGTAAGTGATGAGTTTACATTGTTAAAGTTACATCTTGTTGTATACATTGTTGACATTTCGAGTTTCTTGTTAGTAACAAGTCAAGGCTATTTGCTCACTAATATTTTCTGCTGTTACTGTTGCTGTTGCTAAGGAGAGTTTCTAAACATCCATACAGAAAACCATCAAATCCACAAAATGGACTTGCACACACCTACACATGAAGGAAGATCAATACATGGTTATATTTGCACAAAGAATTCATGTTTTTCTTTTCATGTCTTAGAAGCCTAAAATGATTATTTCACAATCCAGGGTCAAGCATGGTTTTAATGCAAAGCACAATGTAATAAATATTTTACCTCATACATGTATGAAAACCCCTTAGCAACAACTCTAGATCGGTATATGTAGTGAAGTTTGTCCCCCTATAACAATGAAGTGTTCCTTAAAATGAAAGATGGATCCTTTAATGACAACTTGTTCCAACAAAGGATAGTCCTCATACACTGTAATTACGTTAATGATTCGAAAGGTTGAAACCAAAAGACCTATTTGGAAGGTATGTGTTTTTATTTGAACAACACAGTCACTGTAGTATTTCTGGACAAATAATAATTATCACAGTTAGTTGCAATTTATTGTTCCAGTTCTGAACATGTAAGATTACATGTCAAAAGATTAAAAGTAGGTTGAAAAAATTATTGTTAGTTTAAATAAATATATGACTTGTTTGTTTTTTGTTTGTCCTTTAGCGTTACTTGACTGACTCTTGAGGGTGTTTCTTATTACAGTAAGTTGGTGATTTGGTTGAATACTTCAACCCCCTCTAAATATGTTAAATTGTCTGTTACAGGTAGGAGATGCATTTCCTCCTCAGTGAATGGGCAGTTTGTGTCCGGAACTTCAACATAATCAGGGCATTGTTCTGGGACGGGACCTTGCCAATCAATCCCATAGTTGCTATAATCGCCCTAAAAAAAAAAGGATTATTGTAAGCAATTTGTTACATATGTGCTGCCAAAGCATTAACCCCCAATTTCTTGCAATGCTGGCCTGAGGATAGAGATTGGTGATCATAATTTTTAGTTATTACATTTGACACAAGTAATGCTGATTAAATGAAACCAAACATGTTACATACCTGGAACACTTCACCTTCAGGACCAAGAGATCCCCATGCCTCTTGCAGTCCACTAATCCATAACTGCATGGGCGTTCTGTTTCTTTCTGTACGTAATGGATGGTGAACCCATGCGTCTTTCCAATTACTCAGATGTCTGTTGATGATAGGCACGAACACGTAATGTAGGCACCAGAGGTGACAATCATCATCTGCATTTAACACATCCTGGTTTTCTAGGGTATAGAAGAGTTCATAGAAGAGGCTAAGGCAGCCCCCATATAAGTCTCTCCAAAGTCGTTCAATCCGTTGATTGTGTGTGCTCTTTCCTAGTGATTGCAAAGAATATAATTTTATAGATTAATAAAATTTTAGTTTACTTAATTATCTGTTAAACATTATCTAACAATTGGTGTCAAATACTCCCCCCCTCCCCCCCCCCGCCCCCGCTTAAAAAAAAAAGGAAAGAAAAGGAGAAAAGAAAGAATTGTTTAATAGTCTCTTGATTCCTTCCGGGCTTAATAGTTTCTTCAATTACCATCATACTTAAAACTAGTCACAACCGGATTTGGGAGCATGGCAATCACCATGCTCATTCTTAACAACACACACAAGCATTCATGAAAACAGTTCCCCTTAAACTAATTTAATGAAACTTGTGAGTTATTAATAGTAATATAATACTATTCATACAGCATCATTTCTCCTTGCCTAGAAATCCTCAAGATTAGTTCATGATCCCATAAGTACCTATTTCATTATATAAAATGTAGCATCCTTTGTTAAAACCTATTCAGGATCTTAAAGTATAGCCTGAATTCAAGATCCCATCTATTACAAACCCAGGAAAGGTCATCTAGCTAAGGAAAGATAGATTACAAGTAGTCCCCATTTTTCTTAACGGATAGTAGATTGAGTGAAACCGTGCATCATAAAAATCATCCCACGCGAGAAAGGAGAGACGCGGCGGGGAGATGCGCTCTACTATCCCTGAGGAAAAATGGGGACTGCTCATAGTCTAACCTAAGTAATAATGATGCAGTACTCTGTACCTGTTATCATACTTCCCCTGCCTGGCCCTCGCTGGATGTGAGTAAGCATATAGGTTGCTACATCTACGTTCTCCCCTCCTTTGTCAGAGCGGACCCGAGATGGAAGGCCGTACTCTGACACAGCTTCACGAAAACATGAAAGAACAGTGCTTGCCTTGTTGTCATTTGAGGCCTTCAAATAGACTGGGATTCGAGAAAAGCCATCGATTCCTCCATGTATAACAATTCTCCATCTGTTAAAAAAAACCCCTTAATTTACATACAAGATCAGAGTGACAAACAAAAAATAAAAGCTCCTGTCAGGGCAACCTTATCATGTTTGGTGTTACCTGCAAGGGGTTAAAAAAGATGGGGACAAGGAAACAGTTATCAATCATGATCAATGTCTTCAACTGTAGCTAAAACACAGTTTAAAAAGTCTTGCATTAGCTGGTGTTGTGACCACAGTTTAGTGTTTTCTTTTTGGTTCATTCAAGGTGTGTATGTTTACAGGAGGTATCCAGTAGCAGAATTTTGATTGTGTTTAACTTGGACCCACGCACAAGATCACGGGGGGAAACTATGACAATGTACACTGTACAACAGGTATCTTTATCAGTACCTTATCAGCTTATGGTTCCCATCTATGTGCCATAGTGAGAGTGGATACCTAACATTGTAATGTCGCCTCCTAGTGGTACTTCTCCATCTCTCCATAATACCAATGGGATCTGTTCGCAACAGGGATAATCTTATTCTTTCTCGCTGAATGCGAAACCCTTTGCTTTGTAAATAACCTTTGAGCATTCTTATACCCATTCCAGGATGCTGGCTTGAAGCAATTTGAACGAGCTCATCCAGTTGGTTGTCTTCTATATCACTGAACATACCTGAACCAAAGCAATATAATGGGGTAAAAAATTTTCATTGTCGGTGTTGGGTAATGAATAGTAATAATGATGATGGTGATGATGATGATGATGATAATAATAATAATAATAACAATAATAATAATAACTTTATTTTAGTATGATTTTGTCATAAATCTCAAGCTAGGTAGAATGGTGAACAAAATTTTAGTTCAAACACTTCTGTGTGTTTTACTAATACTGGGCATCCAGATATGTAAAACTGCCATAATAATTTAATAACATTCTTCAGGCCTGAGGCTACACTTGACATTGTAACTTTTTCTCAGTCAAGCTACCCCTGAAGTGTGAAAGGTCAACAACAATAAAGATAATGATGGTATAAGGAAAAATCTATCATTTATGGGAGTGGATCCCTAGGTAAAAGTAAGTGGAAGTCAACATTTTAATTTGCAAAATCTTAATCACCACTGCTTGGTGCAACAACTATCAACATTACTTTTTTATAGCCTTAATCCTGTACTAAATATTATCACTTTGTTATAAAAATTGTCCTTGTAGTAGTTTATCATCTCATTAGACAAAAATAAAAGATTCACGTTACTTTATACCTGATACACTCAACCCAAATGTTGACATCCTCCTCTCAACTGTCCTGGCACTCACTCCAAGGATTTTACTTATGTCACATACTTTAAACCCTTGCTCAAGTAAAAAATGAAGCTGTTCCTCGCTGATTTCATATGAAGGTCTCCCTCGTTGCCCTCTACTATTCAATGGAGCTTGATATGCATAGTTAACAAGGTTTCTTTGATCAATTTCAACCAACATCCTGTAAGCATGTCCAATCAATTCTGTGACTAGTTCATCCACATCGAGGCCGACAGCTATTCTTTGCAGAAAATCCAACTTGAAAACTATTGGTTGGAAATCTACTGATGGATCTGCAGACCCTGTAAATCTGTCTATAGCACTGATGATATCCAAGACAGCTAAATTTAAATAGGCTTTGTCATCAGACATCTGCGAGATCAAATATTTGAGTAATCTCAAGATGAAACAAATTGATCAATTAACAGCGCTTATCGCATGAGAATACAATTTCTGGGGGAATATTTAAGCTACTTCTACATGAGAAATTTCTGCAATTTGATTGGCTTAGAGCAGTGGTATTTCAGCTTAAGCTTAATTTGAAATACTTACATATGAAAATTACAATACCTTTGCAGGTAGTAGTATAAACAAATAATAGCATGATGTGTACGTGATTTTTGGTATAAATACTACTTGTGACATTTCAAAATTGTCTTAAATTTCACTCGTGAAATTTCAAATATCACTCGTGGTATTTATGCTAAATATCACTACAAAACATGCTTTACCTTTTCAAATTAAGCTGAAGGGATGCAAACAGGTAGCGCGTTGCCTCCCTGTTTGTGTCACGTATAGTGTCCCACTAAAGAAGGCAGAAGTCGGTTGGACAACACTCACCTCCCTCGAAGACTGTGCAGCATACTGGCGATCGGCCATGTTGTTGTCGACGTCTGGTTTGTCGGGAGTGGAGAAGGTCTCCCGAGTCCACTCGACTGGGAAGTCTCTCGACCACCATTTGAGCGGGGGTAGGTCAGGTCAATTGAGCCCACGATCTTAATCGGTCGCTGACCAGCGGGTAAAAGTCAAAGTCGAAAAGTTGAATGTCGAATGTGGAAACTTGCAAGTGCAATGCTCAAAGTCGGATGTCGGAAGCGAAAACTTAAAGGACAAATGCTAAATGTTGGATGAGAAAAAATGAATGTACATTCCACTGAACTTGAAGGTAGAATTCCAAAACCTGACTGTTGCTTATGAAAAGTTGAATGTCGAAAGCGAAAACTTGAATGTTGCATAAATCGAAGTTGAATGTTGAATGCAAAAAAGTTGAATCGCGAGTGCAAACTCAAATGACAAACACAAAGTGTAGGATAGATTGTGCAAAGTAGAATGTAAAATGAAACATTGAATTTTGGCGGAAATGGAACGCCATACGTTTCACCTGGTTTGACTGTAATATCAGCTTTTTCTGACAATGCGTCATCGACAAATAAAAACAATACAATACAAAACATCTGCATCAAATCGGAATAACTAGATTAAACTCGCTCGTTCATTTATTCATTCATTCATTCATTCACTTATCATAAGTGACCTTCGTTCACAGTAGTGTCTTAAGGTTAAACGGTTAGGGCTGAAAAGAGTATAAAAGCTTTAGGTCAAGCTTTGGTTGCTTGACCAGATTAGAGATTGACATCTGTCTCAATATCTTTTCTTTTACTTATAAATTATTCCGTTTGTCTGCCTTCTTTTTCCTTAGGTGCTCGTGCTGAAGACATGAAAGTTTGCCCAAAAGAAATGGTCAAATTGTATTGTCCTCCCCTTAAGCAAGCCATCAAGAGCGGAGATTACAGAGAACTCATCTGGAAAGTCGCCGACCCTCGTGACAAATCTGATTCTGCGCGAAAACTGGGTTATTGCGGCGAAAATCTCAGCTGTACCAGGTATAATTCCTTGGAAAACTTTGAGGAACGTATCACGATCAGAAATTCTCCTGTAAATGGGACATTGTACATAGAGCAAGAGATCAAGGATGACTTATTGACTTTCACTTGCTCTGTGCAAAGAAAACAGAACAAGGACCCCCTCGTTCACCAAGTGAATGTTTTCTCTTCTGTGAACTGTGAGTAGAATTCAGTGATGGATATTTTTTTGCTTCTATTTTTATGCCTCATTTAGTGTGCGCACTGTGATTGCTTAGCGGTTTAGTGGGCCGGATAAATCACTGTAATATATAAGGACCGTAAATTTAAAAGTTTGCTTTGCAGGCGTGGATCCAGGTTCGACCGAGTCCTAAACGAGCGAGCCCAAGGCGCAACCTTCTAGGGGGTCAGGGGCGGGCTCCTATCCCTTACTCATTAAGTAGATTAAGACCTGGGTCATTACAGAGTTTTCAGAATTTTTAAAGGGGAGTGGTATAACGTAAAGTATTTTCAAGAAATCCCACGACTAACAATTTAAGGCCAATCATAACCAAGAAATCTTCCAATTTCATTTTAAAAATTGTTTATAACAGCATCACGTCACCAGCCACGCCCTGATTTATCGAGAACTCCTTTGAGTCGAAATTCCCACCAGAAAGAGAGTAACCTATTTTCCTTCAGTAGGTCCAAAAAGTGGCTACTAATAGTCTTCATGTAAAAACAATCAGAATGAGGCGAGGTCAATAAACCTCTTTCTCCTGTCGATAATTTTAAATAAACCTCTTTCTCCTGTCGATAATTTTAGTTGGAGGAGAACTGGCACTAGTCAGTGAACACCCATTGCACCTGCCAATTGTAACGCCTCGAACCATTCCGAGCTGATTTCTTAGACACTTTGTAGGGACAATGTTTTGATACAGAGAAACTTGAGCTACTTGTTTGGCAAGTGGTGGGAATCGTTGGTTACAATTTTTGAACAATGGAGGGCGTAGTCAATCACGTGTCCGAATAATTTCAATTTCTTTTTTCAAGTTTTTTAAGTTTAGTTTACCTCCCCAGATATCGTCCCTTGTGGATGTTTTTAACCATAGTTTTTGGAAACCGTACATAAAAACCATAAATGACTTAGACCCAGGCATTAATCTACCTGAGCAGGAAGTTTTTTGGATTTTTTCTCCTTAACTGAGTTCCCTTTCCTCGGTTTTCCGAGGCATTTAGACAGATTTAAGTTGGAAAACTTTTTTTATTGTTAAAAATATATTTAACATGAAAAATGTGAGTACGAGAGAACGACTGGACAACTGACAATTTGACTAACAATAGACGACTGCCTAACTGTAACAATAGACGGATCGAAACGCACCAATTACATTTACTTACGAGTCTTCATAGCCAATAACATCACGGCTAACTGACAGATAGCCAATAACATCGCATAATAGCGAAATGCGCGAGTGACGTCATCAAATCTAGACCCCCCCACCCAAACCCCGAAAGAGTCAGACAAACACAACTGTCAGTGAAAGAAATGGAGGAATATTTAAAGATTTCTTCGAGCTCGAGGCAGTGGCCTCAATTGTTACAGAATATGACAGAGACCCGGGTTCAAACTATGCTGATGAGCAACTAAAGTAATGAGTAAAAAGCCGGGGCTTCAAGCAAGCGGTTAAAAGGAGTTATTTATTCACAAGTGTGAGCGATTCGCTCGCTCTAGAAAAGTCCTACGACGGCTTATCCTTGACTGAAGTACAGACGATGGCAAGTAATAAATTCTGCATTCAACCTTCTGGAAAGAGCATCTAAGAAGTAAATAAAGAGGACTTATGTATGTACTATTGATGTTCAGATAAATTGATCTCAGTGTAACAGTATAAAATGTATATTGTGTGTGTACAGGTTTTCATTTTCTCGGTCTTTTGCACTAACTACCTTGAGGGAGGTCACCACTTGCTTTTAATTAAGTTGTCTTCATAATTTAATTCATTCTTCAGAATGATAAGCTTAAGCTTATATATGTAAAGTGAGTAAAATCATTTATCGTTTCGATTGTTGCTTAGTTCTTGCCTCTTAAACTAGGCAGTTTGCTGAACAGTTGTGCATGCTGACTTTTTTTCCGAACCTTAACTGATCCTCGTGTTTCGATCTGGACTGGTCAAAATCATGTTTAGTTTATTCGATAGACGCATTCGACTGGTAAAATGCTCTTCGTATATGAAAGGGATTGAGAAATTCTTCACAGCGGCTGTTTCTCCTAGCCAGTAAAATCCACAAACGTTTGTGTTTCTGGTAATACAGGGGCGTAGCCAGGATTTTTCAAAGGAGGGGTCACAGCAGGGACACCATACAGGGATCGCCGACTATATTTGGTTTATATCGCTGCTCTCCCTGGTGTATCAGCGGGCTCAGTCGTATTATCGCGGCATGAAGGCCAATATTAACGAACGACAAGAGCCGTTGATGAAAATACTTTACAAAAAAACAAAGTTTAAAAAAGTGGGCTTTTCAACAATGGCTTTTACGGCCAAGATATTGTCATGGCGTTTTCGCCACCTGAATATTGTAGGTTGTTTGCTCAAAAGAAGGCCTACCAAGGGGGGGTCACGGGCACCCCAGGACCCCCCCTAGCTACACCCCTGTAATATTATCGACCGTAAAATTTTCACGGGAACAAGCGTTAATTAATCGAGCCTTGACAGCGATCAAGTTTTTGCAATGGCTTCCGTGACATCTCACAGGGGTAATAGATATTTTCACACTCGAATTCAGTATTTCTATGAGCGATCGGAGTAGCTTTCCTGGATACCTAGAATTCCTTTTGCATGGCTCCAACAATAATGCATAGCACTGAATAAAATTAAAGGCCTAAAAACGCCTTTTTTGACTCAAAACCTTGCCTAAATTCCCTCTTTTCCTCTCTGAAAGGCCAGTGTTTGTCTGAGTCTCGTGGGGGGTCCAGAGATATGCAATCTATTTTTTACAAACCGCGCGCTTCGCGACTGACCAATCAGGACAACAACCAGAGTATAATACCATCAACTGACGTGATACAACTCACTTTGACTCTGAAGATGACTACCGCACAGGTTGCCAAAGCGTCAGTCACTGTGAACAAAAACAGTCCTATTCAGGACTACGTTCACCCAGACGATCAAACTCAACCTACTTTTATAATGAGTATTATAGGCGTGAAAGGAATGTTTTTGAAAAAGTCACGATTTGGGGCTCTCATGTTTATGAGTTGTCGCGCGTAGAGATCATCAACATCCGTCCTGCTTGAATTGAAAAATATATACTACTTTTCTCGATCTGTACTGTAAGTTACGGGAACTCTTTTTTCCTGCTCGGATTTATGGCCCAAGGGCAATAAGCAGTATATTTCTCGAGCTCTGATCGGCTGATAGTCACTTAGTCACTATAGTTCCAAACGCATTAAGCTCCTTAGTTTTCAGTTCAGTATTCGAAATTTTTATCATCGATGAAAACTTTCTCGTCCTGAAAGATCGACAACAGGAAAAAGATTGTGCTCAAGATATTCAATCGAGTATATTTAGCGGTGTTTTTCAAGCGTTGTAGCCTGCGAACGCAAACGTCGCCTCTCTCCACCCCAAGAGTTACTTTTTAGGTGGAGAGAAGCGATTACTGGAAATATGTTGCGTTTGTAGTCTGTAAATTTCAAGCCAAATTCATCGGTAACCGGCTGCGCTTTTATTAGCCTATTTGATTCAACGAACCAATTGAGAAAATGATCTCATGTTGCCGTGCGACTGTTCAGAAATCACAGATAACGTCAAAATGTGGTAAGAACATAGCACACGAGCCGCCACAGGCGAGTGTGGTATCCCTGCTAAATGCGCATGTGGGCCTATGGTCCAAGTGAACAAAGGCTGTTGTAATGTATGAACATTTTCGTGCATTGATCAAGGCTTTATTTTCATCTTTTCAGGCCTGACTTTAACTGCAAAGCAAGCTTTTAACCTCAGCGGGGCACTAGGTAAAATGGTCTCCACAGCTGGCATTCAAGATATGTGGTGGTACTGGATCAAACCCGATGGGAAAGTGCAGAAGATTGCATATTGCAACTCCGAGTCGTGCGTGTTTGACGAGTGTAACAGTACCTGTCAATCAAGGTTCAGGATTGACGGAGCGACACTGGAATTGACCGAAGTTAGGGAAGAAGACCGTGGTTTGCAATTACAATGCCAAATACTTCCCAAATTCCAGGTGTACACGATGAAAATCAGTATTGTACTGCCAAAAGGTCAGTCCAACTTACATCACAGATCGCGAGTAAATACTTTTAAGGGGGAAATCTTTTTGTTGCTGTTGTTGTTGTTGTTTTTTTTTGGGGGGGGGGGTTATTTCAGAAGGAAAGAAATTAGGTCAAATTAGGATAGAAAAGGTATACAAATAAACCATTTAGTCCCCTAATGAGCTTAAATTAAGACACTCTGTTTTGATGGTAGACTATCCGGTATATTTGTCTACTAATTATTCTCTTCCTGTTTTAATTTTCAACAACCCCCAAATCCAGTATTTTCCATTTTCTATAGCTTTTTAAAACTATAGAAAATGGGGGAATGACATTCCCCCATTTCTATCGATTTTATCTGGATAGGCATTCATTGCTGAACGAAATATTTCTTTCTTTTATTGACCTAGACTCTGTTAGCAGCACAAGTAGTACTCTTGGCAAGAATGAAAAGGTACCTTCTAACAACACTGAGACGACTTCCGAAACATCAGGAAAGAGCAAAGCTGGGACCTATGGTACCCAAAATTCGGCAAGCAGCAGGACCTTATTAGCGTTTACGTCAATTCTGATCATTTCATTTGCATTTTAGCAGTTTTAGAAATTTCTTGACAAATTTATTTCTTTTGGATTCCTTGTCGCTGCTCTGGAATTCTCACAAAATATTCCATCATATAATGCCCCAGGAAAAACTATTATAACGTTATCTATTCATTACAATAAAGTGACCGGCCAAGTGAGTCCATAAAAGTGAGTAGAAAAGGCATTAAGGAAGGGGTTATTGCAAGTTATTAAACTATTATTCAGGAATCCGATATGATAACCCATAATTTATAGGAAGTGGAATTTTCTTTGCAGAATTGCAATCTAGGCGACTTCTTGGATTCCAGTTACTTAAAAAATCCAGTTTTCATTTTAAGAACGACGAGGAAGGACCTGGGCTATTTAATTTCTGACCTTACGCTTCGAAAAAGTACAAAACGGCCTGGCGGGCCCAAAAACGATTTTACCTCTGACAAAATACGTTTGTTTATGAGGACAAATTAGGAAGGCAAACTTTATTCAGACAAGAGAACTTCTCTCAACGGGTTAAAATATATTTAAAATAAAGTATGCTAAGCTGATGTGTAACATATTTTGCCTAGTCCCTAGGCCTCATTATTATGCGATGGCGATGCGTTTCTGGTCACGTGGTCCGAGAAAGTTTTTGAGGCCTAGACAAACTCGGAGAAGTGAGACATTGGGCGCTTTTCATTTAGGAAAAAAACCCGGAAATTTCGGTGGTAGCAAAAGTGGAATTTCCGATTGGTAAAAAGTTGTTCCATTTGGTCGTAAACCCCGGTACGTGGCGGTGCCCGACCGTTGACCTGGAACTGGTACAAACTACGAGAAACGTAAATGGAACACGAGATTCCATTCGGAAATTCCAACCGGGAAAACGGGACCACCTTTTTAGATTTTCCACTTTTTCTGGGAATTTTCCAGTGGGACGAACCGACGAAACGTGTTCCATTTACCGCTGAACCGGAAATTCCGGAAATTTTGAGTAAATGGAAAGCGCCCATTTTGTCGCACTTGGGTCGGAGCTTTTGGAAGCGGGCGAGCTGGCAATAACTTTTCCGCGCTGATGAAAGATGTCCAACAGCCATGGAGAGTACAGAGGAACGAGCATTTTTATTCTATGCACGTTTTCATTGTTGAATTCGAAAGTCGTTTGGCCTTTCTTTTTCATTTATCTCATTAAACTCATTTGAACTTTATTTCATCTCAAAAACTATTTGTAGGCTAAACAAAACAGCGTCGCAAAAAATTATTTGATCAAGAATCGGAAGGTAAGCTAAAGAAATAATTTTATATTTATTCTCGGATATGATAAGCTATCTTTCGTTTCTCTATTTTCGCTTGCTCCTATAAATTTCTCGTTATCATTTCACTTCGAAATACTTTATGTAATTTAATTTTTGGATTTGGAAGCTTGTCAAACTAATCGGACAGGCTGTTGAATTTGGTCTCTAAATTTGGTAGAATGTCAACAAACTACTGTTTCAAATCTTTTTATCAATAAAGACTATCATTTTAATGGTTCATTTGAAGATGGACTAAAAGAGAAATTACTTGCACGTTATACAGTAGTATTCTTTCCGATTCAAAGGAATATTCTTGTTCTTTTATAACACGAACTAGGTTAGTTATTTTCGTAATAGAGTAATAGTGTCAATAGGGGTGTTACTAAAACGGGGAACGGGGAGCAGGGAGCGGGGAACGGGGAACGGAAGTCTGGGAACGAGTTGTCAGCGGAAACCTCCATAAAAATCCAAAATGGCCGGTAAGGATCAAGAACGCGGTAAGATCGATGATAGAGAAGCGTCGAAACAAAACTTAAGGTCGCTATCTTACTAATGAACTATATGCTCATGAGCTGCTTGAAATAATACGGAGGTAATAATGTCATGACATTTTTCACCTTTCTGCGTTTTACTAAACAACAAAATATGCTCCAACAGCAGTTGAAAGAAGCTACAGTCGGGACAAAAACTCTCAAAGCACAGCCATTTTTGGAACTCAAGCAAATCTATACTGGGTCTAACTCACAAAGCAATGAACTACTTTTGCTTGACGCTTTTCGTAGGGTTTTGGCTTAAATACATGCTGAAAGATAACGTAGATCGAAGCAGCCAGGTGTATTTCCTCGACAGTAATAGTGTAGCAGTGGAGCTCCAACCTAGCTGTAGCGTTTTTTCAAGCCCAAATTAAAACATGTTGGCGATGAGATAAAACTGTAAGTCTAATAATATTATATTTACAAACCTATGATGAGAAGTAAGTGCAATTGTATTATTTGAAAAGATAAGATGGATCAGGTTATTTAATACATCAGTAAAAGGCAACTTTAAACATATTAACGGGCAATGTGCCAGGAACATCAATCATACCTTGGTCTTAAAGATGTCAGTTGTTTCAAAGCAAATGGCTATGCTGTGGTTTTATTTTATTATAACCTAGGTTTAAATTTTGCTTCCCTTTGTTTGGGGGTACGGTAATATGAATTTTATGATTATGAGTTCAAAACAAAGAGAATAAAATTCAAACTTAGGATAAAAGTTAACCACAACTGAGCTGCAATATTAAGTGTTGCAAGTATACGTGGGGGAAGTACTTTAAAGTCTTTGGTTGGAAGGTACTTTCTAAAGGCTAGCTGTTAAAATATGCATGGTAAGTATACTTCCTCTGTTTAGCCCTCTGAATGCTTTATTTTTTCTAGGGGGACTCCTTTAATGTTTTTGCAGAGGGGAACTCTGCGTCTCTTTAATGAACATTATTTTTACTGTGGAAAAAAATATTTCAAGCTCAGTGTAAAACTGAATGTATCAGTGACTTAAACCAGTTAATATTGTCAAGCTGCTTTATTAGCTTGATTCAGTAATATTGCAGTGCACCTACCATCGAGCATCACATCATCAATGTTGCAGAGGTTGGCAGCTTATTAGAAGGTGGTTGATAAGCCTTCAAGCAAGCTGTCTGTAGTTTTGGAAATAAAGAAGTCTAAGGTCTCACACAAGTGATGGGAGGCAAAAGATTGGAGTGCCGATATCTTTTTCAGTAAACACGCGCAACTGTATGTGTATAGTGGCCACATTACGCTTACTCAGTGCATGTAAAATAACACAATAGATCTTGCTACCCATTTTCCCTGATTTTATTTCCCCTCCAGGGGACATAATTTCTTTTAACATATCGGGGTTTTCAAAAAAGGGGCAAGAAGCTTTTAAATGAATTTTAATTCATTTAATGAAGCACAGTATCAAAGAAATTAAAGAGAAGAATCAGGCTAGAGTAACAGTAACCCAGAGGGGAGGGGGGGGTACTCACCAAAGAGGCTCTGCCCCAGGGACCAACCCTTTACCCTTTGTATGTACCATTTTAGACAAATGGTACCCCTTTCACAAACCTAATGTTGAACGCTGCATCCCTTTTTAACTGCTGTAAATACACCATCTTTACAATATGAATAAATAGCTAAAACAGGTTTTCTTGTCTCTCACATCCATAAACTGCATCTGTGACTGATCTCATTTTGGTCCCTTTCATATACTTCAACTATAAAAACCCCTTCCCTTTCATGTACCTGAAGCCTGAAAAAGGCTTCAGGCTCTGTTTAGGCGATTATAGTACCCCTCCTCCTGCACCGAGAACAGTACTTGATACAGCGATATTGTATGGTATGAATTGCACCAAACGTTTCGTGCCCATGAAGAGGTACTTTGATTATTTTACAACATTTTTCTTCAAAAGGGAGGGGTTTTGGATCTCATCCTTAGGGGGGGCGGGGGGTTAATTGAGGATCTGCAGTGAGTGAGAATGTTGCATTCAATGCAATCTAATGGTTTTGATTCAGGAAAGGGTCGTCAGGGGTATTTCGCAGAAAGACAAATGGCCACTGTACGACTTTGAAGCAGTTACTGATTAGGGTGAGGAAAATGAGTGAATTAGGTTCCATTAGGGTCATTATACTGGTCTATACTGGGCAAACTGACCTGAAACAAATTGTTTCACAAAATAATAAAATGATATTATTTTATTTTCATAGATCAGTGAAACACTTCAATATCGTGAATGCTTGCAGTGTAGTGGATCTAATAATATTAAAAGCAGAACCAGATTGTTAAAGTAGTCTTACTAATTATGTGATGACGTGGTCAATAACATTTTTCAAAGCAGTCATCTCTATCAAAGGAAATAGAAGAAGTCTGCACACAAGCTACTTGACTACTTCGATGTATGTTAT